CTTTGAATGCCCACCGCATGTATTCACCCCCCACTCAGTACTGATTCCACGGGGTCTCGGATGTGCATCCTGGACCACACATTGGAGTGTAGTGCAAGAGGCCAACGGGAGTGAACGCTGATAACTCCATAATCACAACAGCACTTAGCTAGTGAAAAATAATTTCAGGAAATTTTAAAATGCTGTGCTGGAGTATTTTAATATCCGCTTCCTTTATTATATTATTTTCTTCCTTGAAGCAGTTTAAATGGAAATCAAATAAATGTTCATTTGTTGCACTATGATGAAGAGAATACAAAAAAATGAGGGTAAGAAATCCGATAACTCCATAATCACAACAGCACTTAGCTAGTGAAAAATAATTTCAGGAAATTTTAAAATGCTGTGCTGGAGTATTTTAATATCCGCTTCCTTTATTATATTATTTTCTTCCTTGAAGCAGTTTAAATGGAAATCAAATAAATGTTCATTTGTTGCACTATGATGAAGAGAATACAAAAAAATGAGGGTAAGAAATCCAGGATACATTTTCATAAAAATTGGTAGTGAAGATGTAAAAAATTTTCACATGGAAATTTTTCTTGGAAAAAATGTATTTTAAATGGCAGGAAACAGAATTCATGAAAACTAAATGGAAGGAAGGATACTCATGTAACATACCAGTGGGAAACTCTTTCGGGAATTTATTCTATTGTGGAATTACCAGGCTATAAATAGCTCTCCTTCCTTAAGGGAAAGTAATATTTTCTGACCCTTGCACAATGTCCTCTGTAACATCAGTTTGCTGGAAAAAGTTAACAGGATTTCAAGGGAAAATTTTATCTAGCGAAGCATACTATTTTAACCCCGAGTTGGTTTAAACCCCAATACTTAGGAAATCTTAGTATTTAGAATAATAACAATAAAAACCATGGACTGTGATCTTAATTTTAAGTGTTCATGTAACAGCTCAGAGTCATGGACTTTGGAGTCAAATGGCCTGAGGTGGAGTTTCTTAAAAACCATATATCCCAGGACAAATGTTCTAGCTCCATTTCTGCATATATAAAATGGGGGTAGTAATTCCTATCTTTAGGGTTACCAAAGTTAAAAGTGTATTGATGTACACATAGCATGTAGCATGGTACATGGCATGGACTGGACACTTGGTAAGGAAGCCATCTTAACATCAACGGCCATCATTTGCAACTGAGATTAGTGATCATCTTAAAACACTCCTTTTGCATTAAAAACATGATCTTACAAGCTTACTACTCTGCTTTGCAGCAAGTCAATGTTGGGAATCCTTCACTGCCAGAATAAAACTTGGACTCTGGAACCAAACTTAACTTTGAAATTCATCTGCTCCTCTTATAAAAAACTACACGGCATCTCTTACTTTCTATTGTTTCAGTTGTAAGTAAAGATATTATTTATTTCAGAGTTAGTATATAGATACAGAAGAGTAAGCAAAACGTCTAATCCAAAGCCAGCACTTAGTAAATATTCAGCATGTGATAGTTGAAATATCATTGTATATATTGTATTACAAATTGTATTTATATTGTATACCATATTCTTATATGTGTATACACATAGCATATTTCAAATACACAAGTGAAGTGTGCTCGGGCGGGAGCTACTATGTTTACCTTTTCCTCATCAGTTCGGATAACCCAGAAACAGTTAATATCATGAGCATAGCCAGTATCTGGGCTCTGGTAAGCAATGGTTCCTTGTGTCCCTGAAATGGAGCCTCCACAAGCTGCAAAGAAAAAGATGAACTGTCTTTTCATAAATTCCCAAAAGAAAGAAACCAGGCAACTCCAGGCTGGCATTCCCTCGTCTCTGTTCCCTTTTCTGTTGACACCAAGCAAATCCCTTCTCTCTGCGAAGTCCATTTGATTCCCAGCATCTTTTCTACATACTTTGTTCCTGTTCTCTTCATCTTTATGAACTTGACTTTACCACACCCCCACCCCTACACACCACAGTTTAATTCACAGCATTAGTTCTGCTGTCTTGTGCCCTCTTTTCTGTTGTCACCTTAGCAACTCAGCTACAGAATGAGCAGATACCAAGAGGAGACAATATTGTATGTTGGGCTGTTTCTTCACAGGGAGGGTTTATCGTTGTCCTAAACAGGTGGTAACACTACAATGAATGTACTGATTCAGAACCGGGAGTAGGACGGGAGAGGAGAGTAGTCAGAGGAGACCGTGGAAGTGACGGACAGATTTTAGCAGTATATATATATATATATATA